GGGGGGGGGGTGTGCACTGTAAGAGTACCCTATATCAAATTATGGATTTGGATGTGACCCGTGGATAAGTCGAGGGTAAAAGTTAGGGGTGTGCAACAAAGGATCTAAAGGGGGAAGCAAAGGAAAACGTTGCCAAAACTGTGCAAAATTACAAAATCCCAGCAGGCGTACCTATAGAATCAAAGAATCATAGTTATCACACGGGGGAAATCCCATACAGAAACGGGGTTTAAATTGAAAAAAACCCACAAAAGCGGGCAGGTTTTCAGACAATGTCGCTGTTAAAATGGGGTTAACCCGAATGGAAAATAGTCAGAAACTGATTCTTTTTACTTTTGGAAAATCCTGAAATTCCTCTCTCTCGGGACCATGGACCCTGAAAGTAAAAAGAAGCAGTTTCTGACTCGGCGCTTGTGCAAACGAGTCACGGCTGCCATTTTGTTTTCCAAAATGGCAGCCGCGACTTGCTCGCGCACGTGCAGGAGTACTGCGCATGCACAAATGAGTCACGGCTGCCATTTTGGAAAACAAAATGGCAGCCACGACGCGCACGGCAGCGGCAGGGGTCAGTGGGGGTTGGCGGTGGGGGCCGGTCCCGGCCCGCAGGCCGTAGGTTGCTGGCCCCTGCCCTAAAGGCTGGATGGACAAGAGAGTAGAGGGTCAGCGCTTCTTTTTTTGTGTGTTCCCACGACAGATTAAGCTCTTGCCTTTCATCAGGGGATGGTTCCTTTTTATATATGTATAAAAATTAAAGTACAGTACTTTGAAGTTAAAGTGGTGTCGAGCTGCAATGCAGATGCTGCCTTAGACTTGCCAAGAAAGCCCTAGGAGCGGTGACCCTCATTCACAGGCACACAACAACAGCAACAACAACAACCAACTCTAGTTGGGACTATTGCTATGGTTCAGTTATATGGGATATATAGTCTAATAAAAGTAACTTTTCCAAGAGCCTATTGTGGCACAGCATTTCAAGGTCTCTGGTGCCTCGCAGTGTAGACAGCCTGAATCTGCAAAGCTGAACCAGGCTTGCTTCCATTAAGCCCAGAGAGTTAGGTCAGATCAGTAGCAACAAAAGAAAAAGAGGTTTTATATTTTAATGCTGTGTTTTGGGCAAACATCAGGTCTGGTCTCCTGACCCCCCGAAAGCCTCTTTTCCAGGTAATTGCTCAATTAGCACACCCGTCTTTTCCTCCAGCAGCAGCAGCCAAGAAGGGAGAGAGGATCTGTGTCTGTTTTTCTGGATTCCACAAGAGAGGTTGAGCAAGAGAAATCTTTGACTCCAGAACCATCCAAGGCTTTTTGCTGCCTGAGGCAGAGAAGCCAAAGGCACCCCACAACCCACGCATCCACTCCCCCGATCCAATGAGATGCACAGGACCCAATGCCAGATATTGTGGCTCAGGAAAAAATAATAATGATCAGATAATTAGAGAAGATCTCGACATGTAAAGATACCGTATATCGTTGAATATGAAAGTCAGGATTGTTCATGCCAGTTCAAGATTTTCATACCTTTGCTCAATTATTAATCAGAAATGGAGACTGCAGTCAAGAAATTAGAGGAACACTAAGACTTGGAAAGGCCGCTATGAAGGAACAAGGCAAGATCCTCAAGTCTAAAAATATAACAAATATTAAAGTGAGGGTGCTCCATACCAGTTCAAGATTTCCCATAGTTCCCATACCAGATTTCTGATTCATGATCAACCATGAATCAGAATGGAGATTGCAGTTAGGAAATCAGAAAGAAGACTTGGAAGGGCAGCCGTGAAGGAACCAGATGAGTCCTGAAGAGATATCATTGACTACTAAAGTTAGGATCGTCCATGTCATCATCCTTCCCATATCTATGTAAGCTTGCAAAAGCTGGACAGTGAGGAATATGGATAGGAAGAAAACCGACTCGTGTGAAATGTGGTGCTGGAGGAGAGTTCTGCAGAGACGCTGGTGGTATGTGCCTTCAAGTTGTTTGCAACTTATGGCAACCTTAAGCAGCTTCATTTATTTCATTTATATACCGCTTCATATCGCGCTATGGGATGTCTAAGCGGTTTACAACTGTAAGCTCATTGCCCCCCCAACAGTTGGATACTCATTTTAGGGACCTCGGAAGGATGCAGGCCTGAGTCTAGCCTGAGCCCTGGCTAGTATTGAACTCGCAACCTTGTGGTCTATGAGTGAGGGGCTGCAGGACAGGCATTGAACCACTGCGCCGCCAGGGCTCTTAACATGAGTCAACAGTGTGATGCAGCGGCTAAAAAGGCCAATGCGATTCTAGGCTGTATCAATAGAAATATAGTGTCTAGATCAAGGGATCTAATAGTGCCACTCTATTCTGCTTTGGTCAGGCCTCACCTGGAATAATCCTGTCTCCAGCTCTGGGCACCACAATTCAAAATGGATGTTGAAAAACTGGAGCATGTCCAGAGGAGGGCAACTAAAATGGTGAAGGGTCTGGAAACCATGAATCCCTATGAGGAACGACTTAGGGAGCTGGGTATGTTTAGCCTGGAGAAGAGAAGGCTGAGAGGTGATATGATAGCCCTGTTTAAATATTTGAAGGGATGTCATATTGAGGAGGGAGAAAGCTTGTTTTCTGCTGCTCCAGAGAATAGGAAACATGGAGCAATGGATGCAAAATACACGAAAACTACAGGAAAAGAGATTCCATCTAAATCTCAGGAGGAACCTCCTGATGGTCAGAGCTGTTTGACTACGGAACACATTGGTGCCTAGGAGTGTAGTGGAGTCTCCTTCTTTGGAGGTTTTGAAATAGAGACTGGATGGCCATCTATCAGGGGTATTTGGGTTGTGAGTTCCTGCATGGCAGAAGGGATTTGGACTGGATGGCCCTTGAGGTCTCTCCCAACTCTATGATTCTAAGGCAAACCTGGGCTTTTCTTGGCAAGACTTGTTCGGAAGAGGTTTGCCATTGCCTTCCCTTGAGGCTGAGAGTATGTGACCTGCCCAAGGGCACCCAATGGGTTTCATGGCTGAGCTGGGAATTGAACACTGGTCTCTAAAGTTGTAATCCAACACTCAAACCACTATGCCACGATGGCTTTTAGCTGCTAGGAAAACAATATTAAGCAATGAAATAGCTTACTAATTCGTTGGCCTTTTCACAAACCTGCTCTTTGGTGCACTGCTCCGACTAATGGTAGAGCTGTTCCGCACACATTTCAGTCCTATCTATCTACCTATCTATCTATTATATTTATATCCCACTGTTCTCCCAAAACGGGACTCAAGGCAACAACAATCCAAAATGGGGGCATCCCTTCCTGTGACCCACATAGTGGTGCATAGAATCATAGAAGTTGGAAGAGACCCCAAGGGCCATCTGGTCCAACCCTTCTGCCATGCAGAAACTTACAATCAAAGCATCCCCTTTGACAGATGGCCACCCAGCCTCTGTTTAAAGTCCTCCAAAGAAGGAGACTCCACCAAAATCTCCAAGGGAGTGTGTTCCTCTGTTGAACAGTTCCTCCTAATGTTGAGGAGGAATCTCTTTTCTTGCAGCTTGCATCCATTGTTTCGGGTCCTAGTCTCTGGAGCAGCAGAAAACAAACTTGTTCCCTCCTCAATATGACCTCTCTTCAAATATTTAAACAGGGCTATCATATCCCATCTTAGCCGTCTCTTCTCCAGGCTAAACATCCCCAGTTCCCTAAGTCCTTCCTCATAGGGAACAATAGAGAGAGTGGGGTTGTTTGACAAAACCAAGACCCAAACCCCAGAAGACCAAAGCCTTGGCCCAAAGCCCTTTTCTGCTTCTTTTCCCTCTCCGGCTCCTGATCTCTTTTCTTCACACTGTTTCCCAGACTTGGCAAATTATCTCAAAAAAATATTTAAGACTCCAGTTAATCTCTTTGATTAACCGTGCCCTTTTCCCGCATAATCCCATTAGAGTCTGCAAAGCAGGACCTGCCGTCACAATTTAGATCTCGGATGGAGAGCCGCAGCGGCTTATTTTGAGTCGAGGTGGGACCCCAGACACGCTCCAGGCTGCGACGTTTTGTTGCAGTTCCCCCTTAGGACCCCCATAAGACCAAGTGGCCTGTCCCTTACGAAACCTACATGCCCAGGTCTATATAATATATAATATATAATAAATATATAATATATAATATATAATATATAATATATAACACTTGGATAATATCGTACAACGCAAGGACACTTTGACTGCATCCAGACTGTAGAATTACTGCCACGGCTCAGTGCTATGCAATCCTGGGATTTGTAGTTTTGTGAGATATTTGGCATTCTCTGTCAGGGAGCTCTGGTGCCACGACCGACTATTAATCCCAGGGTTCCATGGGATGGAACCATGACAGTCAAAGCAGTGTCAAACTGCATTAATCCTGCAGTGTGGCAGCAGTCCTTGGTGCTACTTTAATTGCCATAGCTCCATCCGAGGAATCTTGGGATTTATAGTTTGGTGAGATACTTAGAGCTTGGTCAGATGGAGTTACAATCCCCCTGAAGACACAGTTTTGTCGTTTCAATGGACGCCTGGACTGAGCTTTGAACTTGGAGGCCCAGGTTTCTGCTGTGGCCAGGAGTGCTTTTGCACATTTGAAGCTTGTGAGCCCATTATTTGAGACATCAGATCTGGCCATGCCTGACTTACATCCCATTTGGATTACTGTAACACGCTCTACTTGGGGCTGCCCTTGAAGAGTGTTTTGGAAAATTCAACTGGTTTCAAGATCTGCACCCAAAGCGCTAACTGGGGCAGGTCATGTTGTTGTTGTTGCATGCCTTCAAGTCATTTCTGACTTATGGAGACCCTACGGTGAACCTATTGTGGGGTTTTCTGGGGTTGAGAGTATGTGACTCACCTAACGTCATCCAGTAGGTTTCCATGGCCAAGCAGGACATCGAACCCTGGTCTCCAAAGTTATAGTTCAGCACTCAAACCACTCCACCGCAATGGCTCTCTAGAAGCCACACTGTTGTTATTGGGTATCTTAATGTCATTTCCGATTTATGGGAACCCTAGTGGCATAGTGGTTTGAGTGTTGGACGATGACTCTGGAGACCAGGGTTCAATTCCCAGTTCAGCCGTGAAACCCACTGGGTGACTTTGGGCAAGTCACACTCTCTCAGCCTCAGAAGAAGACAATGGCAAACCTCCTCTGCACAAATCTTGCCAAGAAAATCCCACGATAGGGTTGCCAACAACTTGAAGGCACACAACACACACGCACAATGTGAACCTATCTTGGGGTTTTCTTGGCAAGCTTTGTTCGGAGGAGTTTTTGCCACTGTCATCCTCTGAGGCTGAGAGAGTGTGACTTGACCAGAGTCATCCAGTGGGTTCAAACCCTGGTTTCCAGAGTCATACTACTCCCTTGTCAAAACAGCTTCACTGGCTGTCAATCTGTTTCTGGACACAATTCAAAATGCCGGCTGTGAACTATAAAGCCCTTTATGGCTCGGATCCAGGTTACCTGGCAGACCCCATCTTTTTGGGCTCTGAGATCATCAGGTTTCCAAAGGACAGAGCTACAGCACTTAAAGTGGTGTCAAACCGCATTATTTCTACAATGCAAACACACCCTTGATCAAAGCTTGGAAAGCTTAGTATTCGAGATTACAGTTCCCAGAATCCACAACTTTTCATGGCCAATTTCCATGCTGGTTAGAAGGTTCTGGAACTTGATCTCTCTCTCTCTTTTTTTTTTTTAAATCAGCATTTGCAAGTTTTACCATTAAGGGCAAAAACATCCTACACAATCCATGACTGTGTAATGGACTACAAAGTTTAGAAAGGAGGTTGCTGAGGGTGTATCCACACTGAAGAAATAATGCAGTTCAGCTCCACTTTAAGTGCTGTAGTTTCATCCTATCGGATCCTGGGCTTTGTAGTTTTGCAAGGTCTTTAGCCTTCTCTGGCAAAGCGCGCAGGTGGTGCCTCCCAAAACTACAAATCCCAGGATTCCGTAGCATGGAGCCATGGCAGATAAAGTGAAGTCAAACTACATTATATCTACACTTTAGCCTTCTCTGCCAAAGAGTGCTGACGCCTCCCCAAACTACAGATCCCAGGATTCTATAGGATGGAGCCGTGGCAGTTAAAAGTGGTGTCAAACTGTATTCTCTCTTCTGTGCAGATGCAGACTGAGAAAAGGGAGGAAAAACAAACAATTGCTTGCAAAAGTGAGGAAGTGGAGGGGATGCAAGTCAGGATCCAATCTTTCTACAATGGAAATGTCAGTTTGGGGACCCCTTTTCATTTGATCCCTTGCATGCAAGGATCGCACTTTGTGTCGGAGAAAAAGGGACACCTGGGACGGCTCCGAGAGCAATGTCTCTGAACTGCCATCTGGTTGGCTTGGGATCAGAGAAGAACGTCAACTTCTGTTGCCACCTCTCCGTCTCCTTTTCTTCTGCGCTGTTTCTGGAGTTGCAAGGCAGCCCAGATCCCAAAAGGTCACCTGGATCCAGTCCAAGGCTAACGGATCCCACCCGGCCACAATGGGGAACATCTGGCCCAGCTGTGTTTGCTCTCTGCAACGGATGTCAAGGCCCTGATGGGGAGAACGCTTTCCCAAAGTCCGTGGGTTGCTCTGATCAGCATTTCTTCCATCGACTCCCTTTGCAAATGGAGGAACCTCCTCTCTGTTACAGAGCTCAGAAAAGTTACTTTTGCCGTTGGGTGCCTCCAAGTGGTTACTGGCTTATGGTGACCCTAAGACAGGGGTAGGCAACCTTTTTGAGCCGGGGGCCGGTCCAAAGGCCTCGGGGGGCCGCATCCGGCCCCCAGGCCTTAGGTTGTCTAACCCTGTCCTAAGACAAACCAGCCACAAAGTTGTCTTGGCAAGGTTTTTATTCAGAGTGCCACAGCAAACTACCCTGCCCAGAATTCCCTAGCACTGAGCCATGGCAATTAAAGTGGGGTCAAACTGGATTATCTCTGTAGTGTGGATGCAACCTCGGTCTCTCTCCAGATAGGATCAAAGCCCGCCATCTCTTACCTGGGAGGTTGTCGCAGTGCCAGGGACGCTGGGGGAAACCGCTGGGGGAAATCTCTGCCGTCTGCCAGTAGCCCTAAAAGAAAAAGACAGCTTTCTTCAAAAATGCAAAATAGAAAATAGGAAAGAGATGAAGGCAGGTCAAAGGCAAGTATGAGCATAGAAAAGAAGAGCTGCGCAAGGAGACAAATGCACTCACACAAAAGAATTTAAGTACAGGGCAGAGTTTGGAAAGGTTACCTTTTGGGGAATTGCAATTCCCAGAACCCCCAGCTAGCATGGAAATCTTGTTGTCATGTGCCTTCAAGCCAACTTGGGCACATAGTAACCCTATCCAACAGCTTTCTTGGCAAGCTTTCTTCTAAGGAGGTTTGCCACTGCTGTCCTTTGCAGCTGAGAGAGTGAGATTTGCCCAAGGCACTCAGGATGTTGTCATGGCCAAATCAGGATTTGAACCCTGGTCTCCCACAATCCTAGCCCAACACTCAGGCTACTCTATCACGTTGGCTATTTTTAGGGGAGTTGTAGTCCTCTCCCTCCCTAAGTAATTTTTTTAAAAAGCTCTTCCTAGGTTAGATAGATCCCTCATTTCTAGTGAACCGGGGCTGTTCTCCTGAGTTCAAGTTTCTTGTGAAACCTTTCAAAGCAGTTTGTTTCACTTGGGGAAAGCTTTTGCATGGTGCAAACCAGTGAGTTGTAGTGGTTTAAGTGCTGGGCTAGGGAACGTCTGTGTGTTGCGTGCCTTCAAGTTGTTTCCGAATTATGGCGACCCTAAGGCAAACCTATCCTGGGGTGTTCTTAGCAAGATTTGTTCAGAGGTTTGCCTTCCTCTGAGGCTGAGAGCATGTGACTTGCCCAAGGTCACCCAGTGAGTTTTATGGCTGAGCTGGAATTCGAATCCTGGTCTCCAGAATCGTAGTCTATCACTCAACCAACTACTCCATGCTGGCTCTCAGCATGTCTTGAACTGCCATGGGGCCTTCCTACAGAATCCTGGGATTTGTAGTTTGGTGAGGCACCAGCAAACTTTGGCAGAGAAGGATAAAGTCCTTATAAAACTACAAATCCCAGAAATCCATAGGATGGAGCTGCAGCACTTAAAGTGGTGTCAAGGGCATGTCTACACAGGCCAATTATATCAGTTTCGCCCCACCATTGCCACAACTTGCTTACACAACGCAGGGCCAAATCCTTGATGCGAGTGCAAACTGTATCCACAAGGGTAAGCCAGTTCTACACCGAATCTGTCCTATCCCTTGCTAAACCGGTGTAAAAATTAAATTACCTTTTGCTCTAGATTTTGCAGGAAAATTCAGAGCACCCCAGCGTGACACTATGCAGTTTTTTGTGGGTTTTTCGGGCTGCGTAGCCATGTTCTAGAAGAGTTTCTTTCTGACGTTTCGCCAGCATCTGTTGTTGGCATCTTCAGAGAATGCTGGAATGGAAGAGAGTGGGTCTATATATATATTCCATTCCAGCATTCTCTGAAGATGCCAACAACAGATGCTGGCGAAACGTCAGAAAGAAACTCTTCTAGAACATGCCACACCACCCGAAAAACCCACAAAAAACTATGGATGCCGGCCATGAAAGCCTTCGACTTCAAACTAGGTAATTGTTTGCACACAGGTCCAGTGGTGCGACCTGGCACTGCCACTGCTGGCACAAGGTTGCAACGATCGTTACTCGATTGCATGGATTAAATCCATTTAGAAGTTTTCAGTCACTGCGCAATTTCAGTCCCAGCATCAGCAATGAGAAATCTGACCAATTCTTTGTATTTCAGTGGCTTGTCCTGTCCGGTAAATATTGTCAATAACAGTAATTCTCCATATGCAAAGGGGTCTTGTAGCACCGTTGAGATTAAAACAAAGAAAGAAGTTGGTCGGTGCTGCAAGATCCCTTGGCATACTGATTTTCCAGACTGACATGGCTATTTCTCTGAGTAATTCCTCATGTTTATGTATGTTCTGGTATTCTGGCCTGGCATTGATAAAGTGTGTATTTTGACCATGTTTTGCTTTTGATATTGCTGATTAAATTATAAATCTTAAAAAAGTCAAAAAAGGGGAGAGAATGTGGGTTCATCTAATAATGCAATTTGACAACACTTTAAGTGCTGCAGCTCCATCCTATGGAATCCTGGGATTTGTAGTTTTATGAGGTTTTTAGCCTTCTCTGCCAAAGAGTGCTGGTGCCTCACAAAACTGCAAATCCCAGGATTTTGTAAGATGGAGCCATGGCAGTTAAAGTGGTATCAAACAGCATTATTTCTAGAGCCCTAGTCAAAGACTCAAACCACTTGACCACACTGGCTTCCATTTTGGGGACTGTCACTCCCTGAATTGCTAGGGTGGCTGTATCGGGTGGGGGATTGAGGGAGTTGCAGTGTAGTGTAGATGCACCCCATGTCTTTCAGTCTTACCAGGAACTTGCTGGTCTTGTCCCCCAAGATGCTGGCAAAGGTGATCTGCAGATCCAAGGGCAGGATGAGGCTGAGAACATCCTCCCCGCCTCCCTTCTCAAAGACGAAAGGTTCCCGGCAATCCACAAAGAGGGAGATGCGTGGCGGCTCCAGGTTGAGGGCCAGCCGGACCCATCGGCTGTGGGAGAAGGGATTGCTTGTGGGGAAGACCAGGCGGGCGGGTTCCATGTTGTGAACGGCCCGGTACTCCAGCCGAAGTTCATCCGCTTGGGTGTTGGAGACCAGCTGCAAGAGCGGGCGGCCATCGCGCTTAAGAGCAGCCGGCGACACCAGGGAGATGAGGGTCCCCTCCGAGCCACGGCTCTGGCGGGCCACAAAGTGGAAACCCAAGGCGCCCTGCACCGTGGAGAGCAAGTAGACAGAGTAATCCCATGGGAGGGTGAGGTGTGGCACCCGCTGGCGAAACTTCCAGGTCGGCACTCCCGGATCTGGGCCCTTGGCCTTGGTGACCCCCAAGACTGAGCGAGTGATGTTGAGTGCTTCCAGGAGGTCAATGACTGGAAAAGAAGAATCATAGAGTCATCGAATCATGGAGTTGGAAGAGACCTCAAGGGCCATTCTGTCCAACTCCATTCTGCCATGCAGGAATACACCATCAAAGCACCCCCAACAGATGGCCACTCAGCCTCTCTTTAAAAACCTCCAAAGGAGGAGACTCCTCCATCACCCTCCGAGGGAGCATCTTCCACTGTCCAACCTTTCTTATTATCCAGAAGTTCTTCCTAGAGTTTAGGTGGAATTTCCTTTGTGTCCTTTGAATCCATTGCTCCGGGTCCTATTCCCTGGAGCAGCAGAAAACAATCTTGCTCCATCCTCAATTTGACACTCCTTCCAATATTTTAAAATATTTATCGTGTCCCCTCTTAACCTTCTCTTCTCGAGGCTAAACATATTCAGGGAGGTCAGCTGCTGCAGCAAAAATGTCTCCCACAGATAATTCTAAAATAAGGCTAGAAGCTTTGGACATTGACTTTCGCACTTGGAACTGGGAGCTGTGTTTGAAGGCTAGCCAAAAAACATCACACCAACAACATTCTGATAGGTTTAGTGGTTTCTGCTATGATTTTCTGATGAGTTATGGCTAGCCCCCTTTTTGCTCCTGGTGAGCCCATTTGGAAATTTGATTTGAAAGCCAGCGGTGCAACTTGGAAAACCATCAAATTCACTTTCCCAAATGCTGGGGCATCTGGAATGAGGTCCTGATGATTCGTGGCTGCCGGACAGTCACAGAATGAGAAAATGTGTGTGTGTCTGTTGTGTACCTTAATTTCTGACGTATGGCGACTTATGGACCGCCAAAGCGCTATCATGGGGAAAAGTGTGATAAGAAATTATGCTAAACCGGTATGCTTCCATTCTTAAACTAGTGCAATTGTGGCAGGGCAGCAGGCTTGGGTGATAAAGATGGAAATATTCGCAGCACATTCCTGTTTTCCAGTGCAAAATATATCCCGGTAAGTTATGCCATGCCCCCTTTTTGGCTTTTAAGAAGCCCCCCTAATCTGGAATTTTGATTTGTACCTAGCCACTGAAACTGTCCACAAGGATTCTTTGGATCGTTCCTTGGAAGGTCTGGGTGCAGATTCACCATCTCTCCAACAACGGAGCCACCAGCGTGATCGCAGCCCCCATCTTTTGTTTGGTATTGCGCATCAGCGTGATAGCCTTGGTCTTCATCGGGGAAGCTTTTTGTCCCTTCTGTTTGTTATGCACGCCCCGGACAGCTCAAAGTAAGATCATGGAAAAGCCTGCTATCCACAAACATGGACATGAATCAACGGCATCTCCATCAACAGCTGGAAGAAGCATAGGATTCTCACAGCAGCGCACAGAGTTTGGTTAGATAAAACAGCCCCCTTAAGACTCAGCTCGACTTGGCAGGGGGCCATAGTAGTGTTCTGCCCCCCTGGTTCCCCATTTCTCTTTGCTATGGGGAAGGAGCCAAGGTGGTCTCTGAAGGGTCTGCTTTCCCTCAACATGGCCAGCAACAAAGGAGTCAATGGTTTTACAGCCAGAGTGGTATAGTGGTTTGAGCGTTGGATCAGGACACTGGAAGACCAGGGTTCGAATCCCTGCTTGGCCATGGAAACCCACTGGGTGAC